TACGTACAAATCTGTTCCTAAGAACCGTTCGTGAATGAGGCCCAATGTTCTCAACCTTCAACAGCTATACACTTGGTTTCTTTCAGCACAAAACAAGCAAATTGTTGACTGCTGCTCTCAATCAGCCTTCCTTTCTCAGCTACACAAAGCAAATCTGCAGAATTACATTTCATCACTCACAATATGACAAATCAAATACTAATTACAACTCTGCCAGAATTAGAGTCAACAAATCATTCATCCTTTTTTGTGAATTTTGTGTTAATTTTCCCATTGGCTTGTGAGGAGAAATGAAACGCATATCATTCATGCAGGAAGGTAAATACATGGCTATGAATACATTTGGCTCTCTGCCAAATTCGTGCCCAAAGGGTGAAAGAAAAGTCCTGAGTCACTTTTGGATGGGGCTATTAGATCACGAATGCATTCATTGACCTGTCTTTACGTACAGCTCAGACTCAAAATGAGTGATGCTCAAAACCTAACACAACTTACATTATTTGCTATTTCACTCAATGCGGTGCTAATAAAGGTATCATTTACTTGTTATATAATTATATTTGTATAGCCTTAAATGTATAGGAGGATTTTCCCAAATATTAGGAAACAACCGCCCTCTTCACTTTTTGAAAAAAACTCTCTGGTCCTGTTTGTCGAGCACGTATCACCAGAATGATTGACCATCATTGTCTTGATGATTCACCTGCAATAAGAAAATCCTCCCGAATACCTTTAATTCACAGCAGAAGTTGGTTGTGAATTGTCAATTCGTCGACAGATTTGAAAGCCAAACACTTAGATTTAGAATTGTTCATCTTGTTTTTTTAATTCATAAAGTTCTTCTTTACCTGATGGATGTATTATGATTTTTTTACCTCGACCTCCGACTTCAATTGGCCTCGATTGGCCTGCCAACTCTCCTGACCTGAACCCCATAGAGAATCTGTGAGATATTGTGAAGAGGAAGTTGAGAGTCACCAGACCCAACACTGTGGATGAACTTAAGGCCACTATCGAAGCCTCCTGGGGCTCCATAACACCTCAGCAGTGCCACAGGCGGATTACCTCCATGCCACGCCGTGTTAAAGCATTCTTTTCAACAAAAGGATTCCTGATCAAGTATTGAGTGCATAACTGAACATCATTATCTGAAGGTTGACATGTTTTGTTTTAAAAACTCTTTTCATTTATTGGTCGGATGAAATATGCTAATTTTTTTAGATAGGGATTTTTGGTTTTTCTTTTCTTTTTGGCCAAATTCATCAATATTAAACAATAAAAGGCTTGAACTACTTCAGTTGTGTGTAATGAATCTAAAATTAATGAAAGTCTACTGTTTATCAGTACATTACAGAAAATAATGAAGTTTATCTCATTATGCTATTTTTTTTAGAAGGACCTGTATATTTAGAGGTAGGCGAAACTGGTGCACCCGGAGGAAACCTCAAATGTCTGCCCTTTCTAATCAATGGCCTGTGTTTATTGGCATGTGGTCTTTCTATGGTCCTCGTGGTCTTGCACAGACAGTGTGCTGTGTGGTACTTCCAAAGGCCGAATCTAATATGCTAGCGTTCTGACCAATCAGCACTGACTTCAGAGCGCCACACTGCAGCACACTGGGGTCCCAATTTTGTATAGGTGTGTGCTGAAATAATAATGATAAGGTTTCAATGTTTATAAGTCACATTTTAAAATAGATTTTCTTGATAAAAAAAATGTGTTTGAAATTTGAGTGTCAGATATTTTTCTGATTTCTATCACTATATACTATATATTGTGTCACATTGTATCAGATACAAAGTCTCAGGTATCGAGATGCGTATTGTATCGGCAGACTTTGAAATATGCCTCTCCTAATGTTGAAAAAGTCTAATTTTGTTCAGAGTATAATAAGTTCCAGAGAGTACATGCTAAAGCTTAAATTTGAAATTATTAACTTATACACATGTGCAGTCTTCACGATTTTCCAGTTGAGACCACAGAGATTTTTCTTTCCAGCCTGTTTAGTGTTTTTGCATGGGTTACACATTATTTTATTCATTAAAGCTATACTTTTCAGGAGGAGAAAATAAAAATCAGCTTGCGAAACAAAATGTGCTTCTAATCTTTGGATTTTATCCTTGCCAAAAATCTTCATCTGTTGTTGTGTAGTAGTCTGCCAGGCCTCACACGTGCACGTGGTCCCTTGGTGCAGGTTCATTTACTCTCGTCACAATGAGCAGGCTGCAAGAGTTGAAACAAATGTGAGAAACAAAATGGAGGAAGGGGGAGGGGTGTCCAAAGCCAAGGTACTGAAGTATTCTTAATACCGTATCTGCCTTGACCCGTGACACCGGGTCTCTCTGAGGCTGCTCCAGCTTTCCTCCATGGATAAAGTGAATTACTTCCAAGCAAGTGATTGTAAAGCAAATTCACCCAATCCGTTCTTTTTGTTTCAAGACAAGCAAAAATCATGGCTCTGTTTTTCATTAAAAGCTATTTACAACCAAGGCTGTAAAAGGGTATAAAGCTACTCATTTGTTCTATTCAACAAAAGAAGATGGTTTGGCAGTGTCTCATGGCTTTTATATCCTGCATTGGAGGGGCCTATAGATTTAATAAATAAAGCTGTCATCACAGTGCCAACAGAAGACAACGAATTTAAGATAGAAAATATGTGTGACACGTGACAAGAAATATGTCTATACAAACTAATGCATCAGCTTATCCAATAAAAGTGGTGCCGCCGGGAGCACAATGCACAGTCTGAGCGAAGAGGCAGAATCTGTCCTTATTGAATAATGCTATTGTGACCAACTCACACATTTGCCATTTGATTCAACGGATTCTTTTAATCATACATCTTTATCACATTGAATGCCCACAGTCTTTACACAAATGATGCATGACCAGAAACAATACAAAATGCATTATGGAGAATCAACATCATCGTCAGCTCTGTCATAAATGTTGGTTATTAACAGTGAAGAAAGCTGGCTCAAAGGGGGAAAACAGAAACATGTATTTATGGAGCTAGAATTGTGGGTGCTAGTCTGAAAAGCGACTATTCCCTTTTTTTCTTTTTTTACTGTAGGGAAAAAGCAGTCAGAGCTGGGTGCAAGACAAAAAACATAAACTTTTTCACCGAGTGATTTTTGGTCTTGTCAAATCTGTAAAAAAGTAATCACATGTCCATGATGGGTTGTTTTTGACCATGTTGCGAACTACAAGAATGATATCCACCAGACATTAAAAAAACTAAAATTCACCACCTGCCAAAACGTTTGCGGGTTTTATTTGAATATATCACTATGACCTTGTAGGATCAAATTGATTTTTTCATGCGTAAGTACATAATGCTGGGACATCCTTAAGCTTTTCCGTCTGAATATGTCCTCAATCTTGTTCTACATTGAACAGAAAACATCTTAACATTGAATTGAGCTTTAGGCAGATCATGTGATTCATTCTTCACTTTTTCTTTTCCGATTTTTAACCATTACCTTCATGCCAGACTGTTACGGACTGCAATTAAATAAAATGTACACAAACAGAAAAAATACATATTGACAGCATCATCTGAGAAAAAAATAAATATATAAAGCATCGTCCAAACTTCACTTTCATGTTGTTGATAAATAAATAAATACCCGTGGATCACCTTCAGGACAACAAAATAGGGGTCAATTAATTTAGGTCCTGGGTCAACATCGATCAATCAAAATGGATTATATGTCTCCAGTTTGGGAAGATGGTTTAAAGTTCCCATTTTGCATATGTGCTTATTATATTTATTTTTCAAAATCACTGCAATGTTTTGACCAACGGGTTGCTCTTATCATTATTTTCGGAAAAAAAAATATTTGTATCATCTTCAGATGTAGCCAAATTTAGCCAGATAAAATGGTTACTAATTGTGTTTTGGTTTCAATGTTTACAATAAATGAAACGATATGGTTGTTTTGTTGAGAAATTAGCTTTAAAACATGTCATTGTAGCCATTATGTTCGTCTTTCTACCAATGCACGCAAGCTAAATATACTACTAAAAAAAAATATTTTGGGTTGCCCTTGACCCCACAACTTCAAGTCTACCATAGTTGTATCTTCCACTTTATGAAGCCACATGTTTCTAATAACATGTACTATTGAATGTAGTATTTTGTTAAGAAAGACAGCAGTGGTGTACATTTTACAACCAATGCACGAAGATGGACTGGTGCAACGTGTATTTTGAAGTGTAATTATGCCCCTGGATTAGAAATTCCCAAACTGATTATTTGAATTGGAGAAATGAAGTGATCAGATGAAGTGACCTTGTTCTTAATAGAATTGATTTGAAAGATTTGATTCAACATGGTCACACATTTAAACAAACTGTAACAGTATGTTGTAGATCAAAATATTGTGGAGTGCATACATTGTGTGACACTACACAGCCAATCATCTCTGTATAGCTGAAATTGATTACTAATAGTTTCATTGTGATACATCCAGAAATAAACTTTTCAACATCCTTCAAATGAAAGGACACATGCAGCACTGACTAAGTGGCATAGACAGATGCACACATGTACCCAAATATGGTCCCATAGTCCCTACAGTGCCTAGAGTATAAATTAAAATCTGCCAGTATAAATTGCCTTTGTTGGATTCAAAAGTATATGGCCATTACAAGTGACAATATTTGACCAGTCCTTCCACACTTGCGTGTTTTCCACAGTAGCACATAGCGGTCCAGTCATTATAGTCCTCTTCATGGGCAACCTGCATGACCCCGTCACTGTTCCTGTGTCAGTCCGCTCAGTAATTAGCCCTTCTCCAAAAATATCTCTAAGCCTCTCCTCGCTCCTGTTCATTCATTCCGTGTACTTAATTATACCGCATATTGCCCCCGAGAATTTCACAACTGTAAAAATCCATCACCATCCATGTGGAGATATAAAGTATTTCGACAAAAGCATCATTCAGACACCTCTGCCGGGCAATTGCACTTCTGCCATAGGCTGAATGAGCTGCTTCTCAGACCTCACACTCTATGGATCCTGATACGGTGCATGTGCATGGCCGCACCTCGTTCACAAGCGAGTCCATGGTCTCAGAGTTGGAATGATAGCTCAGATAATATTCCTGCAGTTGCGAGTTTAAGTCCTGCTCTTGCTTGATGGTCTTTTTCCTCTTCTTATGGTTGACGGAGTGCTGCTGCAGCTGCCTCATGGTGTTGGGATAGCGCCTCCACGAGACATAAATAACCAACAGAATCAATGACACAGACAGGAACAGGGCCACGCTCCCTGCAATGATTTTGTGGAAAGACATGTGTTCGAACTGTAACTCTGGGATGAATGTAGTAGGGGCTTCGGAATTGAAATGCAATGTGGTCCTTGTAAAAGCTATGGGTTCTTTAGTCGTCTTTCGGTCCGTGCTGATGTGAAAGACGGGAGGTGGGGTCAAAATCTGCACCGTAGACTCAGGGATAGCCAACTCTGGAGGTAGAGAAGGGGCAAATTGGCTTGTGGTGTTTTTAGCTGTGGTTGAAGTGTGAAGCAAAAGTAGAGCAGTGGTGGAGAACACATTGTCCGGACATGTGGAGTGGTTCCTTATGGCGTCCACAACTCGTTCGCCCTGCGCTCTCTTGGGGCCACTGCAGATCATACTGATGTCTTTGGCGTCTCGGATGGTTAGAAGCCAAGCCATTAGTGGGCAGATGCTAGGCCTGCAGTCCCAAGAGTTTCCCGCCAAACTAACGGTGGTGAGAGAGGTCCAAGCCGCCACCGCCTCCACTGGGACACTGCTGAGTTTGTTCGATTCTAGATTAAGGATTTGTAAATTTGGCATACACTGAAAAACCACCGGGTCTAATGTTTGGATCTCGTTCCCAGAAAGATCCAACTTTTGCAGCTTTTGCCAAATCCAGCGTTCGCCCTGGCTTATGGATCGAATGCGGTTCCACTGTAGGTAAAGTGCCTGCAGGTTGGTGAGGCGTGGAAAGAGAAAGAAATTAATCCGTGAAAACTGGTTGTGTTCCAAGTGAAGCTCTTTAAGCTTAAACAAACCCAAGAACGTTGTTCGCGTAAGACTCCGTAACCGATTGTAACCTAAATCAAGGAACTCCAAACTCCGACACTCCAAAAAAGTACGAACAAATATTTGCCTGAGTCCGTTAGAACGTAGATGTAAGTTTTCAAGTTTTCTTAGGCCATAAAAGTGCCCCGGGTGAATGAACTGGAGCTGGTTGTAGGATAGGTCCAAATTTCGTAGATTCGGGATTGCACTGAATGTGTTGTTATGAAGATGGCTTATTTTGTTGGAGCTTAGTATGAGTTCCTTGAGCCTTCGGACACCGTGAAAAGCCAAAGCGTCCACAGCGGCGATGGAGTTGTGGTCCAAGTAGAGCCAGATGAGCTGGTTCAGGTGGGCAAATTGGTACGGCAGAAGCCCCGGTAGGTTGTTATATCGCAGGGATAGGCCTTGGCAGTTGGTCGTGATGTTTTCCGGCACGTCCTGGAAGATCCCGGACTCGCAATAGACAATCTTGCCTTCGCAGCGGCAACTGGCAGGACACATCTTCTCCCCCTCACTGAGCAGAAGCAAGACAGCCGCCTGCACCAGGAGACAAGACAACCTCCAGTCCAGCATCCCAGAACCTGTTGGAGAGGGAGGGAAATCAAACTCTAAACAACATGTAAAAAGGCTCAAAGAGAAAATCAATCTTCAAACATCTCTGCCACGCACACACACACACACAGACACACACACACACACACACACACACACACACACACACACACACACACACACACACACACACCCACACTTACACACAAAACTGCTCATGAAGAATTAATGGAAGACATGAATGACTTTTTTAAGCTCGCGAGTATAAAAGGTTGAAATCAGAGCAAGGTTGCGTTGCGGGAAAAAAAATGCTTGTCTACAAATGCTGCCTGACAAATGGGATGACTAATAGCGTCTTATCATGCATTAGCCCGGAGAGGTTGAAACTGTGTCACAATATTTCTTAAGAAACTGATGACTTACCCATCCCTCACATACAGAAAAGTAATCCTCTAAAATAGCCGGATAAGGAGCGCATGAAACCGCCGTCACCCAAGGGAGCGCGCCAAATCACTCGCAGCCTCCCATCAAGCATCACTTTCTCCACCTTCAATTAAAAGAGAATTAATAAGTTGTTTTCCCGTAGACCGTCCGTGTCCGTGTGGCTCTGCGCACGGGGTGCGCACAGGAATGGGACGCGCTTTATAGTTGGACTAGTGCGTGCGCAATGGCAGATTCTGTGGACTACCGCGCGCCAGTGGACCTGACCCCCTTCTTCTCCTCGTCCTCGCCATCCACTCCTCCTTTCCACATTCCTCTCTCTCTCTCTCTCTCTCTCCGTCTCTAAACCCCCCCCCCCCCCCCCCCCCCTCTCCCTCCCTCCCCTGGTTCTCACGTGGGTGTTTTAAGGCACATTTGCGCCATCAAGCTCCTTTGCGCTGCGTAATAATGTGCAATTATTTGATGCTGTTCAACTGTTGATGCGTCACTGGTTTGCGTGACATCGTTTTGTAAATTGGCTTGTTGGTTTGTCTTCCCCGGGGATACACGGATAGCATTAATACAGCTATTAGATTAGTTTTGCCATTAAAGTAATATACTGCCCGTTTTGCTTATGGGAGGGCAAATGAGCCATATTGCTGTCTTCAGGGATAAATCTCAAATTCAAAATATTTACTTGCAAAGTTTTTCCAATTCAATTGTGGTATTTCTTTGATTACAATTCTTGCTATATTGTCGTGTGGACAATATAGCACTTTGGAGTACCATTAAATATATGTGTAGTTTAAGTGAAAACAGAGGGTTTAAAAAAAAAAAAAAAAAAAATATATATATATATATATATATATATATATATATATATATATATATATATATATATATATATATATATAATATATATATATATATATATTTTTTTTTTATTATTATTTTTTTTTAACCCTAATCACTTTTTTATTCCCGATTTCAATGTTTTGCTGTTCTGGCTGATTTTAGGCAGATATAATCTCGCTATATAGTCTTTAATGAGTTTCAATGCAAGGTAACAGCTACCCCTTGTGCCCACAACGAGAATTGCACACACGTGTTTGAGTCTTTGACATTGATCGAGCTTGTTAAAATGATAATAATCTAAAAGTGTCATTTTAATACTAGGACTTCTAATTAGTAAGAGAGAGGGGTGTGGGGTAGGGGTGCTGAGGATGAGCCCCATGAATACAGGCACGGTATGTTTGTTAATACCGCAGCAGGAGGAATATGAGGTATACAGAGTGCTTCTTTTTCTTTTGAATGTCAAACCAAACCTGCTCCTCAAAGGGTTCTTCTATCATGCACGTGTCTCCCGAGGCCGCAGTAAAAACGTAGGTAAAAACGTGCCACCTTGAACAGAAAATAGCAAGTTAATGCATGTGTGAAATTTAGGCCAAAGAACAATACCTGAGGTTGCTCTTTGTGTCTGAGACCTGCCATCCGTGCATCAAACGCATTTTTATCTATCTGGGAGAAATAAAGATGCTGATAATCTCTAAATCAGATAATCCAGAGAGAGAGAGGAGTGCATATTTGAAGCAAAGGTGAGAATCATGGATAGATAGTAACTCAACACTTAGCCATACACCTTTTGGGATAAAAGTAGTCCAGTAGAAGTATTTAAACATCGCAATATTATAGGCGTGAGGGAATAAAAACAATTATATTTTATGACAGATGGCCAGTACATTACATGCAAAAAAAATAAAAATAAATTATCAGTAAAAATGTATGCTTATTTTCGAGTGTCATGTCAGGAGAAGGCCCTGGTAGAAGACTCAGGACACGCTGTAGGGATCATGTCTCTTAGAGTCCTGAGCTGGCAGACGTGCATAGAGCAGGGGTAAGTATGGTAAAACATGTGCAATAGACTATAAAAAAAACAAACCTCTATTTGAGTTTTTAAATGGTAATATTATTAGCTGTTTGGCTCCTGATTAAGCCTGATTAGGTTGTAAGTGTATCGGACTCATTACTGTTCAATAATTGACAATAAAACAAACTTTGAGCCTCAATATGTATCATCTGCACATTTACCGTTCAATGGAGGCATTTGATATTTTCTGCGTGAAACAATGACGTCATGAATGCAGAAGATTCGATGCAACTAATACATATTTCTGTTTAGTGCATGCTTCTTAATGAAAAAAAATAAAAAAAATAAACGAATCCAAAAATACCTTTGTAGGATTGTTCAGTTGTATATTGTGATATTATCATTTAGACTTGGCCTGTCATGTATTGTTTCTGAGACTTTTATATTTATCCTAATTCACTTTTTTATCTATTGAGAAATGACATTAATTAGTGTGTGTGTGTGTGTGTGTGTGTGTGTGTGTGTGTGTGTGTGTGTGTGTGTGTGTGTGTGTATGTGTGTGTGTGATATGACAGTACATTCATTCATTCATATAAGGAAGTAAGTAAGTGAGTAATCTTTATTTATATGGCGCCTTTCACAGACCAGAGTCAGAGCCCTTAACAATTGTTGTGGGCCTTTGTCTCTCACTCCACAAAGAGAAGGCAGTGAGGTTTATGTGGCTATATACAGCGGTAAGCTTGTGTTTCTGTGCGTCTTCCTCCCTGGGTTTTGAGTGTGCAGCTGCAGTCTCCGCCCGCTGTGTAAAGGTGAGTTTGAAGGAGTATATGAACTCTAATCCAGAGCTTTATGTCACTAATGCAGACATGATGGATGGGCCGGAGACATGCACTCAGCTTCTCAGGGATCTCACCGTGACCTTTGGCTTTCCTCTGTGAGCAACTCTGGAGTTTATTGAGTTAAAACATAACGGAAAAGCATAGAATGTAATCTCATAAGTAGAGATTTTAAGTCATTTGTCATTTCGCCTTTTTGTCTTGTAGCGACATGTAACTATAATATATCAATTGAATGTTTCAACCTCTGCAGCTTTATAACATTGTTCTTATCAATGCTCATTTGTGTCAAGGTTTCCACAAACGTATTTTAGTGTCTATGTGTACTAGTGTCTGTATTATTATGGTATAAACAGAATTACAAAGCTGAAAGGAAAATGAGTGCGTGTGTCTGTATCATTACACGTGTAAATGTGCAAATGTGAAGCACTCATCATTTTTGGGCTGTATTTATTTCTGGACCATAGAATCTTTCCAAGGAAACGGTGTATTTATGTTTCAATTGGAGCCAAGCTATTACCTATGAATCCAACACCTTGCATCAGACTGACAATGTCCTTATGCAATCTTTACATTTAACACATTTAAACAGATTGTATGTTTTTTAAATTTTTTATGTCTCTTATAATGTACAAATCATATTTGACCTTTTCCAAACAATATTCTAAAGTATAATTATTTGTAATTAAAGATACAGTTTAGTCCATATTATATATATTAATCATTTTCAAATAGATGATCAAATCAGAAAGCAGAATGAGGCTCTCATTTGGTTTGTCAGTTTGTTATAACAAATGGCAATAGCACCACACTTTTGTTTCAGATACAAAGAAAGTAGACATACTTAACACACAGAGTTTGAATACTGATGCAAACCACCTGCAGGGGCTGCTAACAGTACAAGTGCGTATGAGCTGCATGAGATTCTGGCAACACGAGAGTGCAAACATGCTGGCTTAGTGGATAGCACTCTCGCCTCTCAGCAAGAAAGGTCCTGGGTTCGAATCCCGGACGGAACAGGGCCTTTCTGAGTGGAGTTTGCATGTTCTCCCTGTGTGTGTGTAGGTTTCCTCTGGGTGCTCTGGTTTCCCCTACCACTAAAAACATGCACAATAGGTATGAATGTAAATGAGAGAGTGAATGGATGGTGTTGATTGGAGCTGATGGTCCAGTGTGTTCGGCGACTCGCTTCTGTCATCACCGTGTGTGGAATGATTGGAACAATATCTGAACTCTGAACATTGTAAAGCGCTTTGGGTGACCTTGGTCTGTAAAATGCGCTATATAAATAAACATTACTTACAGTTTGACATGTGTTGGAACTTTTTTTGTTCACCAAACGGAATACAGTCTAGTCTCCACCAGATCTAAATCTCTACCAGGCTGTGACCGCATTTTTCCATTCTTTTCTCTTTTAATAGAAAAAGGATTTTAGAGAAAAGCTGTGATCTTTCAAATGGATTCTGATGCAAAACGCTGAGCTCCTGGTACAATGAGCGGTTATCACCTGCAGCTGGACCAGTCGAAGCAGGAACTGACGAAAGACATACACCACACAACAGTACTATGTCTCCGGAGCCATGTTACATTAGGGTCACATCCATTCTGCCTGTCTCCCCCCATCACTATCACCTCCTCATTGTCCCACACTATATTTAACATTTCTCCTGACGACAGAAGCAACATGCTATCTGATAAATATGACAAAGGTTGCTGTGAAAATGAAAATTGCAGCATCTCTGAAATGATGTCAGTATTTACAGTGTGACTTATTCTACCATAAACATTAGTAAGATCTTCTGGGCCTCTTTATCTACTCATGGAGGTAAGAAATATTGTTTGCACTTGCAATTAATGCAGACCTACACATGTTTGACTGTCATGGGTCTTCTATTGTCACAATAAAGAGAAACCGAGGAACCGATTTTGATACATTCCACCAAGTCATACTTCTAGCTTCATTAATATCTGTGTGCTATGAAAGGAGTTATATACGTGTGCCAGAAATGTCTAACATTAACATGGAAGGCTCTAAAAACAGGAACTATTTTGTAACACGGTAAAAAGCTCTGAAAAGTTTTTTTTCCAAATGTCCCTCTTTTCTGATGTCTTGCAAATGATGTAACCTTTATAGAAGAAGATCCTTCACCCATAGATCATTGAGATACTACCTCCATGGAGACAGAGACAAAGTTGTGGACATTGTTTTACTCTACATTTGATCCTGTTTATGCAGAAATAAAACCCACTCTCTTATTAGAAAATATGTCTTTATTACTTGTGGCATGCACCAATAAACCTGCG